GCTTTACGGCTGGTTCCCCCAGAAGTTGGGTGGGCCGGGAGGAGGTGAGGCTCCGTCAGGGCGTCAGGGATACGGGGACTGGGAGGAGAGTAGAGGGAAAGGAAAAGGAAAAGGAGAGGGAGAGGATGAGGGAGAGGAAGAGGGAGAGGAGTGCGGCGGTAAGGAAGGGGGTCTCTTATTTGTGTGTTGTGAGGATGCTGAAAGGGACGAAGGAGATCTCTTGCTGGGCAGCACTGTGGCCGGCTCTGAGTGCTTTTCGGCTGGCGGGACGCCGAGGAGCCTTTGCTAGGGTTGTTTGGGGGACTTCAGGAGTACCCGTCTCTCTGCAGCATCCTTGGATGTTACCAAGCGGAGCTGCCGGCGGCGGGGGCGGAGCGCAGGAGCGATCCCCCTTACGCCCGGCTGGCCTGAGCAGCGCCGAGAATAGCTTTTGCTTTGCCTTCGGACCGAGAGAAGGGTACCCGGCGAGCTCAGGTTTTGTGCAAAAAATCCTCTCCCACCGCCTTTCCCCCCCATTACCTTCGGTTTCCTCAGCCTTTCCCATCTCGGCAACACTGGGGTTGAGCAGCCCTTGTTTTATTTGTCTGGGGCTGTGTCTTGACCTCAGTGAGACTTCCCAAGGGATACGGCAGTGTGCGAGTTCTCCTATCTGGAAAAGCAGAAGGATGCAGGATGCAGTCCCAGCATCTCTGGGAGCGTGTGAGAGGGAGACAGGAGAAAGTGCGAGTGGGTGCCAAACTCCCCGTTTCTATTAATAGACTGTGCCGGGCACTCTGAACGCTTAGCACATGGTTAAGCGGTATCCAGCACAGCCATGGACAGACACCGCCCCCGCCATGGACATTGCACCCCAACCAACTTCAACAGCTTCACCCCCCCAGTTGCCCTGCAGAGGTGATAAAGAACAAAAGCAGCACTTCAGTGTGAGTGGGCACGTTCCCTCCTTTACTCCTTAAATGCCTCTGCAAAATGTCTCCTCGTTTCACATAGTCCTCCCAGTAGGTGTCCCGCTCCCTCATGTATTCCACATTTCCCTTCCTAATAGTGCTCTGTTTGACCTTCATAAATATGCCTCCTTTGCCATGCCAGGTGAAGAGCAGAATTTTCTTAAATGGTTATGATGTAAGCGCCAAATGAAAGAACGTGCCTGTTACTGCATTACAACCCCATAGAGTACTGTTTGCAGGAGAGGCATCTATAAATAGCAAGAAGTCTGGCTGCACAGCTGTAAACTGCCGTAGTACTGACAGCACATATTGCATTAAAGGTCCCAGGATCCTGGGCTGTATTGCAAAGAGAAATGTACAAGCACAGCCAGTTCCTTTCAAAGCCATTTTTCAATAGAAACTGTCTTCAGACAGGCAAAATAGGTGAGAGGACCTTTTTAAATATCCCTCTTCTATTTCAATTCACTCTTAGTACATTTTTTCTTGTTTAACAGCCTTTCGTGCAATGCTGCACTAACTGCAATGTCATCTTATGGAGAGGGCTTTATTAATGACAGATTCATTCTGATGCTGCTTACAGGTTAAGAGAATATTAAAGTGCTGTGCTTCCTGTCCTCAGAGTATCCATCAGCAACACATTTGCAAAATGAGAGTGAAAACATTGCAGATTAGGCATATCCTGCTGCGCTTCAACCTTAAGAAAATCAGAAGGGGTACATTCATATCACCTGCCAAGATATTTTCTATTTTATTAATTTTCATATTTGTGATGTTAAGATCTGTTATGTACTGAGAGAATTAGAAGTGCACCAAGGAAAACATGCCAACACCTCTGAAGCTCTTTCACTCGTCAAGCATCTATATTTAGCCAGGTCATATGATACCAGTTTGACCTTCAAACCTGCATTTCTCTGACTTTTTCCTGAATTTAGCAAATGTTCTGTGACAGAAGGAATACAGGACAAAGCATTTCACTTTTGAACTTACACAGTGTCAGAGAAAATTAGAAATTGGTATAAATTTGCTTCATTCTAAACAATAGGATATCAGTAATACCCGATTTGATACTCATTAGATTTCTGAAGTACTTTGATGCCATGGTGATAGGCATGATGTAAAAAATGTCAGCTATAATGAGAGATGAAGTGTTTAAACATTTAACAAATTATCAAAATGCCCCACTTCTAAATCATTCCAAAAACCTTCTGGTTCTTGCTCAGATTAATTTGAGCCAATTACTTATGCTGTACCTTTATAGAATTTTAAATTTTAAATTATTTTTTTTAATTTACCACAACTAAGAGCATTAATTAAACATTTGGTCAAATATGGCAAGTATACTGTTTCAGTAGTAAAGTAGTTTAAAAAATGCAGTAAGACAAAGAATATGGACACTACATGTACAGACATTTACATTACCAGTGTCTTCATAGCTTTGTATCTTGATACAAAACATAGTTAAGTGAATGGAAACGCTGCCACAGGTGCTGTTGGATCTTGGATCAAGTTCAGAATAGTTTTGTAAATTTATTGTACTGGTAACAGCCTGATATGAGTCTGTCTGCCAGAGTCTAAGTGGAACCAGTGGGTTTTTTCTATGTATTTATACTAGCCTGGGAGTACATAGTGCTTTGTATAACAATAAAAGTAAAGGGGAGTAAAATCGTAAGTCTTTTCTATTTAGAGCCCCACTGAAGACCATAGGGGTCCCACCAATAGGAAGCTTGCTAGAATGGTTTTGGATCTTTTTTTGGAGTGCACAGGGAAAAAATGATTCAGAAAATCTTTATAACCCTTGGCCATCCCATGAACTTCAAGAGAAGTTTGATTGGAAAAAAAGTCTGTAGAATTTTTCCTCAACATATAAAAATGAACCTCTGTATCTTTAGTCATGAAAGAATACTTTTCTAAATATAATGGGGCTGTTTGCACAAATAACAGATCCAGAATTTAGTTCTCCACAAATATTTAAAGGCAGGCAGACAGAAAACGAAGTGAAAGAGAAATTGTTCTTTGTAGAACATACACATGTATCATAGAATGGTCGGAGTTGGAAGGGACCCTAAAGATCGTCACGAAGATGATCATGAAGATCATGAAGATGATAATTTTTAAGATTCATTACAAAGATTCTGTAAAATTTATGGTGCTGACCTGCTGTAGATTTTGGTTTCTGGGTCTTTTTATTTTAAATGTATTAAGTGGAAGCTATATTAATAGTAGGTCTGATATCCGTGATGGGTAACAAATTGAAAGAAGTGAGATTTCAGAAGAAGTGTGCCTGAATGTAGCCTGTGAACCTGTGCCAGTGAAGGGAACAGCAAAAAGTGCCAGGGTTTATATGTACATCTGACAGACACACACATCTACACCTAATAGGTTAGTTGCTGACTGAAACAATTTAGAACCTGAAACTTGGCTGGTTTTGTACAATGCAATTGTGTAGTAACCTCATAAAAGGCAGTTCTTATGCTGAAGACTTCACACTGTCTGTAGAGACAAAAGATGCCCATTTCACTGCTAAGAATAGAGGCATTAGGTAATTTATTAATGGTAGCAAAATAGAGTCCTCCATGAATGCCCTATTCTACAAAGTCTGGGTTTTGGTTAGAAAAAAAAATTCTTTTGAAGATTTAGGGTAATCGGCATAATAGATGTGCTTCCCCATACAGCTGAATATAACTAGCACAGAACCATGAGATCCAGGTCTGTGAAAATAACTGCTCTGTTATCAGAAGTGGGGAGATTACAATGTCATATCTATATGAAATCCAGCCAGACTGGATACAGCCATATACTGCTGAGGGGAGAAAAGATTATAAAATATATCAAAATCATGAGCTTTCCTTTGTGATTAATGAGTAGGAATAGGGTTTTCTCCTTCATAAGTTATCAAATTACAAAAGAACAAAAGCAGAGCAAGAGTGTGTCAAACAGAACAGTGGACTGAATTTATTCAGTAAACCCAAGTTTTGTTCCTGGCTATTATACTGGATGATCTGGGAGATATAATTTAGTCCCTCTGAGCTTTCCCAGTCATACTGTTCAATTCTGTGATTTATTGGTGAAAGGTGCTGTATAAGATTATTTGATTTTATTAAATCACTTAGAACACCGTATATGAATGAACATTAATGAGTGGGTGATGTTTATACAAGAGAGAAGTCGCTTTGCTATTTGGTGTACTTCCTAAGCTAACAGAAGTCATGACAGATCTGGCATGGTGTCACATAGCTAGCTGAAGAAGCTTATGATATAACTTACAACCTCACTGAGTGGCGTCCCACACACACGTCACATAACTTTAACAAGAAAAGTTGTGGTAGCTGGTTTGTGCAAGTAGTATAGGTGAGCTATAGAGACCAATGGCCCATGCTCTAGATGTTTTGTGCTGCTGACAAGGCAGTCAGAAAGCTGACCCATTATGCCAGTGAAGGATCTTTCACTGTGGGTGTAGTTTGATCACCAAGGGCTATAGAGGCAGCTCTGAGTTAAGGCAGAGAGTATTCCACTTCAGTGGATTTTGAACCTGTGCAATGCTTCTATTGAGACTAAGTAGCCCATGCTACTTAGACTAGTAACAAGGAAGTTTTAATATTGTCAAAGTGCCTTATTTTTGGTTTCTAGCCAATTCAGGAGTGGGGGAGAAGAAATATGGCTTTGAGCCATCCTCTCCTACCAACTTCAGCTATGCAGAACATTAATTTAGCTCAGCTGAAGATCTCAGTATAATTAAATGCATTACATTCCTTTCTTACACTTAATACTAAAAGTTCAAGACATTGTCCATAA